TATAAAGGAAAAGGCACCAACACTGGAAAGCGTCAAAACCATGCTTTTCCTCTTTGTCAATTCATCTTTTATGCAATTAATTTATAAATATTAAAAATAAAATGCTGCTACAATTGTGAGAATACTACAATTCAGTCTACACTCAGACATTAGGTAAAGTACGCTTTACTCCTCAAATACAACTCTGATTTTTACATCAAAATTTTATTTTCAGTAACAAGACACCAGTGAACAGCAAATCTGAAAATCTTGCACGTTTACTGCAGTAAAAGTTCAATAAGTAAGTTACCCTATTTGTCACAACACTGCCAGAGTGCCAAAGTAGCTGCTTCTGTCAATTCTATGTTTCATAAGAAAATTAGTTGATTTCACACTAAATTATGAATACAAAAAATAATTTAATTGTGAAGAGCTATTTCACCTGAATCATATTTTGAGAATTTTGCAATGAAAAACCATTATCTTCCTCTTGCCAACTTCACAAAGTAAGTTAGTCTTAAATAAGTGTAAGAGTAATAAATAGTGCAATGAACACAGCAGCTTAAATACCATGTTTACTGGCAAAAACTCCTAAGTAAGCTCTCCTCCTACTTTAGACTCTCCTGTCAATAAATATAACTAAGTTGCAAGTCAGTAACTTCATACTATTCTGAAGGTGGGATTTTGTTTTTTTAAAGCAGCTTTATGAATCAAAGTTGAATATTAGCAAAATACGCCCAACTGGCACAGAACTGAACAAGGCTATTCACATCTCAAGACAGGCCATTTACCAGGAAAGCTTCAGAGCAGCAGCATACACCAAGGGGAAGGACACAAAACTAGGAAGTCAGATGTGGATTTTATTCCATTCCCTGCTAATGCTAACCAGCTAAGTGACTGCAGGCAAGCCTACGCTCTTTCACAGCTTTGTATCTGATGCCTAAAACAGGGACAAAAATGATTGTTCCTGGTTTTGAGGTGTGTGATTACAGTACGGCTTATGTACTTCGCCAGACAAGACAGAAAGCACATGAATAAGACAATGCCTAGAACTGCCAATTATTAATAACATCATTATAATTGAGAGAATAGCATGTGCTTTTTTCTCTTTCAAGCAATGCAATCCAACAGCAGCCCACCAAGCCATTCTTAAAGTTGAAGTAATCCTTACGCTGGTTCAGGCTTTATCCCTTCTGAAACTATCAAGAAGGGGGACAGCAGGAGTCTTTAGCTAAATTCACATGGTCCACTAATACCACCCTCATCCCATTGCTCTCAGATAGAAACACTGTATCATCACTGATCTTGAAAAAATAAAAACAAAATAATAAAATGAAAGTAAGCCCTAATAATCTTCTGACATAAAACAGGATGAAAAAGCTTCTGGCAGTGATACCCCAGGAAAGGGGGAAACATGGTAGAAGGAAAAGAAATAAACTTAATATTACAGAAGTCAGAATGTCGACCTTTTCCTATTTCTTCTCAGGAATATTTTGAAATACATTTCAGTCCAGTTTTATAGGCTTCTAAGTAATAAAGAAAACATAAATTAAGTTTACAGTAAGGTAAAACAGTAACTGTACTGCTTTAAAACAAACTTAATTCACTCACTCAAGAAAACTGTCCCAATATATAGGCACCATATGATCTAATGATACAGGGAAGTACCATTAGTCTCTGTTTGCAGGTGGCAAAGGGACATCTGGCTGTGCTTATAAGAGTAAAGACCCTGGAAGCCACCAGCAGGCCACAGCAGTGCTGCTGACTCCACCAGCAGCTGCAGCAGGCCACCCCCACGACAGGGCACAGAAAGTCCAACTTGGGTCCAAAATTTGGTAAGCGGCCTCTGGTTTTGACTACATCACTTGCCAGAACTCAGAGACAGCCTGTGACACACTCAAAATTAAAACCAAAATTTCGGTTCAGTTCCAATTTTAATTTACAGTACCTTCCACTAACAAGGAACAGCCTTCAGATAAAAAGGGAGGCCTGAAAGCCACGTACCGTTGAAAGAGAGGCAGTGTCTCACCTCGCAGGTGCCCAAATTTCACTGCAGGTGCACTTACAACCTTCACATCACAGCAGAGCCTTGCACACCACAGGTCTCGTCTACCTTACTGGCACCTTTCCCACCAACACATGTGGTGGAAGAGTAACTCTCCCCAGCTCACTTGGTGAAAATTTCCTCTCCTCAAACCACTCTCCTCCCAGGCCTACGCCAGAAGACTGCCCTGCCTCACACCATGTTGACTGAGCTGCAGAGACACTGCGCATCCTCAGCCCGCAGACCACGAGTGGCAGCAACCTGGAAAAACTTTAAGCTCTGAATGCGAGCAATTGTATCAGTGAATTTAACAAGACTTGTCATCTGCTTAAAGATATTCACATGCTTACAGGATCACAAGCTACGGAACCACTAATTTACGAACAAAGTGTATTAAGATCATTCTGGATGAACAGGAAAAACGTTAGCTAGAAAATAATTGCACGATTACCTCTGATATTTTATGTAGAAAACTGACATTTAATATCTTTAATTATTCACACAACAGCTATGAAAGAGAAAGGTTTTCTTCCTTGAACGGGAAAATAAACATGGTCAAATTCCTCTCCATCCTCACCACTCCTACACTCCTTTCCTAAATAAACCTCCTGCTGAAGCCAATGGAAGTTTCGCAGGCAAAGAGCTTACAGCAAGCAGTGCCCAAAAACTCCAAAGCATCGAAGACAAGCTTCTTAAATGTTCTGAGTTTACCTCAACACGGAAACCAGTCACATTTCTGATAAATTATGTGTCCGCTTGACATGGTTTATCAGCTTGCTGTGCCAAGAGGGACAGTAGTATGCAATGAACTTTTGAGACCATGGGCCAATTTTTGAAGCATTCACAAGGCCACTTCTAAGCAGCTTCGCCTTCCAGCCTGTGATACACCACCACTGCACTGGCATTTGTTAAGCAAGACCAGAACTCAGGTGTCTCTCCTGAACATCAAGACTGAATTACTAAAATCCATTCATGAACAGTTACTTTAGTGAGAACTGTATAATAAAAGAAATCTTCCCTTTTACCAAAATAAAAGCTCCCTAACGTAAATGGAGGTTTCTAGTCATAGACAAATCTAATGAAATCTCTGCTCTCACCTTCACTAAGCACATTATTTTTATTGCCTTTTTTAAGCTATGAGGAAATGTATTTTTCTTCCTCTAAAGTTTCTACTATGTCTTTTTCGTCAAAAAGATACCCTATCCTTCTTTTCTTTTATCAAGCGAGTTCAACATCAGGCAAGAATTACATGTAGCATTATGCACAAATTCAAGGTCCACTCCTCTTACAGCATGGAAAGATTATGATCACCACTTCACTTTCAGGATCAACATTCCATGCATCCAAAAGACTTCATCACATAAAACTAAAATGAGATAATGGCTGAAGAAGCTACCTGAAGCACGGTCCGTGAGCTACTCTCGTTCAGTACCCTTTACTATTACTCCAAAAAATGAAAGAGTCCTTAGCGCTCACAGCACTCTGACTCTTACCTAAAAATACAGAAAATTAAGTTCAGAAATCAGTACATTTGTATTCAGTCCTGAACAACATTTTGAAGCCTATCTGCCAGTTTTTGAATTTCCAAATGCGTTTTTACTTGGAAAAAATTGTTGCACCAATTACTCTACACAGAACACAATCCTTGTCAGTAATGCTCTAAAACCAAAAGCAATATTCTCCCATACAACTAGTCTGTCAAAGAATTTCAGTAACTGAATTTGATGTTTATACTCTTAAACCTACACATACCAACCTCACTGCACACAAAATCTGTATGCCTGAAATTTGGGTGTAAATCTGCAGGAACTGGAGAACTGCAGAATCCTCCCTTCAAACCAACTTCCCATTGTGGTTATCCCAGCCTTAGGACTAGCTTTGTGGTCATAATATCAGACCAGAACAGCTGCTACCAACAGCCCCCTTCAAGTCAGCACGTTTGGGACCATCACTTATCCTATGTCTGCTATACACTGCCTGGAAAAGGTCAAGAGTATGTTATTAATCATTTGCATTTATGAGCAGTAAGCTTACCCCAAATACATGTCTTGTCTTGTTTTTAACTATGTACACAACAGTACCAAAAAGAAATGCTACCTCCCACTTCCCCATTTTGGACCAAATGCAGTTCAGTGCCACCATGGAAGATCATATGAGAAATGCTCCAGATGCCACTCATTTTATGTCATCTATGAATGTGACCCCAAAAATTTAGAATCTCTTTTTAAACTTCTACTTCAGCTTAAAAAGTGTCAAACCTTTCAAATGGTGTCAAAACTTTTCCCAGAATACAGACAAAAAAAAAAGTTGTTGTCTACCTGAAAGCTTAGGAATACTAGTAAGTTAGTTACTAAGATTCATCTTTCAAATTGATTGGTACCTGCATTAATCAATGCCAAAAGAAAAAACACTAACACAGAGAGAGCATGGAAGGAATTCTAATTAGCTCTCAGTTTATGTGTTAAAACTGAACCAACTCCTGTTGCAGTAGCATTAGAGTTCCGCTAAACTTCTCACTGATTCTTGACCTCCAGAGTTTTCTAATTACCTATCCTGTTTATATTTTGGTACTTTTCTACCACTGAATTTTAAAAGGACTTTACATGTTCATGAAATTTTCAATCTGTGTGTTGCACTTGACATATTCTAACGTTACTCTGGTTTCAAACTTTTGCCCTAAGTCAATCAGCTATCTTTACGAAACAAAGTTTAAGGGCAAAAAAAAAAAGAGAAGGAAAAAAAGAAGTGAAGAGAGCTCTGAATATGCACAGCCTTTTAATTCCCCGGTTATTTGGATGCACCCCTACATATAAACTTTGTTATCTAGCAGCTGCTATGAGCACCCAGAGAAGATGTGTTTTCTGAGGCACTAAAACCTGAAAAAGCATCTTCCACACAAAAAGTGGCAGCATGAGGACCTCTATCTTGTCAACAACAATAGAGTTCTTTTTCCATGTGTACAGTTTACATACTTACCCAGGAAGGCAAATGGAAATTACAGACAGACGAAGATGAAGCTGTCCCAAAGCCTTTGTCATGTGATAGTGACCTATAAAGTATCAAATAAAGGCACATCATCAGCACATCATGATTTTACAATATTGTAACTCACCACAACGTCAACAAGAGGAAAGATCCCAAAACTTGAAACTTGCTTCCTCCTCACCCCCAACCCCAGCTAAGTTTTCAATAAAACAAGATGACAGTCGCAGGGATCGGTAAGGAGCAAGGAAAAGATGCATCGTGTCTTTAAAGGGCATTAGGAGTGGGCAAATGGAGCAAATTATCTGAGTGTGCATCAGCAGGGTGGGTTATTTTTCCTCTGCCTCTCGCACACATGGATGCACGTTTATGCGCACACACAGACACATATACGTACACACAGGGATGCATCACGTAATCATTTACATGCACACACAGAGATACTCGCACGTATTATCAAAATAAAAGGCAGAAAGTTGACCATCATCTGCAAGGAGGCATACATAACAATGAACCCCGGGAACTTACACAAGTGAGCGATCAATCCCCGCGCGTGGATAAGCCAAACAACGCAAAAATTAACAACAAGAATAAGCCGCCAGACCGCAGGTACGAGATCCACCCGCGGAGACAGACAGACAGACGAGAGGGACGGACGGCAGGCTGCGAGGCTGGAGCACAGTTCCAGGTAAAGCCCGTTCCCCCCCGGCAGAGCCCAGCGGAGCCGCCCGGGGAGCCGCGGCCGCCCCTCGGCCACCGCAGCCCGCGGGGACAGACCCCCGGCCAACGCGGGGGGAGCAGCGCTCGCAGCCGCCGCCCGCCCGCCGCCCACCCCGCCCGTGCAAAGTGTAGGGCCACCGGAATCCGGGCTCCGGGGTGGGGTGGAAAGAAAAGGTATTAAATATGGAGAAAGACCGCCGTGACCCAGGGTTTTCCCGTCTCCCCCCCGCGCCCCCCGCCCCCGGTCACCATCAAGTTTGCATCCTAGTTACAAAATGTCGATCTTGAAGGCTGACAAGACACAGGGAGAGGGGGAGAGAGCGAGGGAGAGAGAGTGAGTGAGAGAGAGAGAGAGAGAGAGAGAAGAGAGAGTCCATCTTGCTTTGAGGGGGGAGGAGAGGAGCAATAATGCAGCGCATAAATCTCACCCTCCCAGGGGAAAAGTCTCCACAACACCTTTGGGGGCGGGCGGGTGCGCAGGGAAGGGGCGGCGGCGCGGGGAGGGGGCGCGGGGGGCTCCCCGGCCCTCCCAGCTGCCCTCCCCGGCGGGCTCCGGCGAGGCAGGCTGGCAGCAAACACCTCCCTGCTGCTCCCCTCCTCCTCCCCGCGGGCCCGGGCGATGATCCCGCTGCTGCCGCCGCCGCTGCCACCGGGGAGGAGGTGCCGCCGCCGAGAGAGCCACATGGAGACCGGCACCCCGTCCCTGCCCCGGCGGCCGAGCCGGGCCCCTCCGCCGCCCCGCCGGGCTGCGGGACTTGGACGTGTCACCAGCAGGACGGGCAATGGTTTCGGCGCCCCAGGCCCGAGTGACCACCGCCGGCCTGGCGGCGCCCCGGCCTCCCCGCACACACTCACCTCCGCAGAAAACTTTTAACCGCGGGCCTCCCCCGGAAAAAGTGGCGAATCCGCCCCGCACACGGTTAAAGCCCCGCGGCCCCCCGGCTCGGCTGGCGGCGAGCGGGGGAGACCCGGGCACGGTCCTTCCCCGCCCCGGCGGGGAGGGAGGGAGGAGGCAGCAGGCAGGGAGGGAGGGGGCGGGCAGCCGCCTGCCGGTGCCTCTCGCCCCGCCGCCGTGCATGTCGCCTCGGCGGTTCTCGCATCGCTTCGTTTTACCTTCCTCATTCAGCGGCAGCAGCGGGCTGCCACCGATATTCCTAACGCAAACCTGCTGCCGTGCGACGCCCGGGATTAACGCGACTGCCTCCTTTCCCCTGCCTCCAACCCTTCCTTCCTCCTCCTCCTCCTCCTCCTCCTCGCAAACCCACACTGGATCGGCTCTCCTCACAGCCATGCAAGTTTCATACATTGCAAATAAACCCGAGAGGAGGAAGAGCGAAGCGGCTGGCGGGGAGCGGGGGGGGGAGGAGGAGGAGGAGGAGGGCTGCTTTCTGTAATTTACCAGCGACCCGATCTCGCAGCAGCAAATAACAGCCGAGCACCCATCCGGCTCCCGGCGGCCGTCAGAGCCCCTACCGAGGCGGCCGCCCCCTCCCCAGGGTGCCCCTCGCCAAGTTTTCTGTCATCGCGACCACCCAATGTCACAACTTACCTTCAGAAATAGGACTTCGCGCGGCCGAGGCCTGCCGCCGCCTCCCCCCGGCCCCCGCCCGCCTCCCTCCCTCCCTTTCTCCCTCTCCACCTTAAACTTATTGACACAACATAATCCCGCATCCACGCGAAACTCCGGCAGGGCCGCCCGCCCGCCCCCGCTGCCCACCGGGGCCGCCGCCGCCCCGGGTGCATCGCCGATGACTACCGGAAAACGCACAGCCCAACTCTCCGGCCGAGCCCGGCGGCCGCTGTTGTTGTCGGGGTCGGCGCCGGGGTTTTTCCTCCCGCTCCCCGTGCGGCCGCCGGATCAGCTTCTCCCCCGTCTCCGGTTTTATATCCCCCACCGCCCTTTCTGCCGGCGGCGGCGCGGAGCCCCCCAGGCCGGCGGCAGCAGATACCGCTCCGCGCACTCTCCCCCGCGCCTCGCCGCCCCTCGGGATGAAGTTTCGTTTCTGCCTGCCGCGATTTCCCTGTCAAGTCCTCCCGGAGGAACGCACCGAGCGGCGGCCGGTGGCCATCCCTCCTCCTCCTCGCCCTCCTTCCCCTTCCTCCCTCCGCCGCTGCTCTTGCCTCTCTCTGTGGCGGCGAGAGGTGCCTGGTTTCAAACGCAGCCTGGCACTGGCTGGCCTACCCCCGCCGCCTCTCGGGCTCGGCTCGCTGGTGTGTTAAATGCCCTGCGCTGTACCGCGATCCACTTCGCCCCCTCCCCGTCAAACACACCCGGTCACCTCTGCCCTCCCGGCCGGGCGGAGGGCTGGCGGCACCAACCCACCCGTCCTCCGCTGCCCAAACTTTCCAAACGAAGGCAGGGCTGGAGAGAGGGAGGAAAAGTGACTGGGAGCAGCGGCAGCCGCTGCGCCGGGCATGGGAAGCTCCGCGCCGCCCTCCCGGCCGCCGGCGCCGCAGGCGGAGCGCGGGGGGCTGCCCCGCCGCTGGGGCGCGGATGGGAAAGTGGGGGGCGAGGGCACCCCTATGTCTCTCTCTCTCTCTATCCCTCCCTCCCTGCCTGCCACTGCCCGTCTCCGCCCGCCCGGTGCGGGGCGGCGAGCGGGCGCACTCACTCACCTCAGCGGGGCGCGCACCGCGGCGCTGGGCCGGACGCGGCTCGCAGCGCAGCCCCTCCGCCCCGGCGCCCGCGGAACGCGGCTCCACACAGAGCCATGCAACCCGGGCAGCGCCACAACACTCCCCGCGATATAAGCCGGCCCGTCATTGGCCGGCGCGCTGAGCGACGGGCCCGCCGGCCACTCAGCGCCGCCGTTACACCCGCGGCCCGCGAGGGAGCTACCGGCGCACACACTCCCCGCACACACTCACACAAAGATCGCCGCGCTGTCCCTCGCGGGGTTCGCGGAGCCCCCGGCCGTGGTGCCGGAGAGGGGCAGGGAGCGGGGGCCGCCCGGGGCAGCGCGGAGCCGTGCCGGGCACGGCGAGGACAGCCGCTGTCCATTGGCCGCCCGGGCAGCGCTGCGAGAGTAAACTACGCCTGCCCTGGGCAGCGCCGCGGGGTAGCGGGGTGCGGGCTCGGCCCGGCTCGGCGCACCCCGAACAGCTCCCCCGGTAACTTACTCGCCCGAGTTGGGCGGGTTTCATTCAGAGGCCAAAGCACGGAGAGCCAGAAGTTGCGGGAGGCGGCAGCGCATCCGCGCAGCCCCTGCTGGGGCAGTAAACACGGGGAGCCACCCCCGCGGCCCGGGGGCGGACGGGCCGAGCCGGCAGTGCCCCCTGACCCGGCCGCGGGGTCTGAGGCGGTGGCGCCGCGCGGGGATGCGGCGGAGCTCCGGGCGGTGCCCGCTGCCGGAGGAATCCTCGACCAGGCGTGGCGGAGAGGCCCTCACCGGGCCAGCATCGGCAGCACGGCCGACTTCACATCGGCTTCCCGTAGAGACAGCTCGGCCGGCAGAACTAGCGGAGTATAGCGCTGGGGTCTGCGCCACGCTCCGCGTCCTGCCCGGCCCCTTGTCCTGCACCTCGCGGACGGTACCATCCACATGGATGTGAAATTCATCTGAGAATTTCTGTGACTCACGGGCTGGTACGCACAAAGCGACAGTGTGAGGCCGGCAGCTTTTGGGTGGCTGCATGGCGATTGTGCTGACGGGTGTTGGAAAAGCCCCGTGGAAATGTAGTCTTAACTTTTTTGGAGAAGCTCCTTTCTGCTGCAGAAATCAAATACAACATGAAAGCGTACTATGTACGCTGATCCTGTGTAATAATGTTTGTGAAGGTTTGAATATATGCAACATGAGACCTTTATGGTTTTTAAGAAGAAGACACATGGCATTTATTCTTATGGTTAGGAAGCACTAATGTTTTTGTGTGGAAATGTCTCCAGGTGGTATGCTGACAAGTGGCATATTAAAAAAAGGGTCAGAAATAATAGTTGTAACAACAATGGAAACTGAAGTGTACTTGGGTTTTTTCCAATAAAAGAGCAATGTTTGTGCTTCACAATGGTTTTACATATCTGACGCTCCAAGGATGTTGCAACGAATTATTCCGTATGTTCTCAATCCTGAGCTTTATTCCATTGTGATGGTTGATTTCAGCATCTTCCCATGGTTTTCTTGCTCTTCTTGCATTCCTCCCACCTTTTCCAGTATGGCAGAATTACGTTGAATAACTGTGAAATAATATCTCTTATGTCTGAATAGTATAGTGGGGTAAAGTACAAGCTGATGTTAGAAAACTAAATTGCATCTGTATATCTAAGAAAGCATTTTAAATTAGCTTGCACGTTTTTTCTTAAGATGGGAGAAAAGTATTGTAAATGCCCCACCCTCTTGCTTGTTGTAAGCAGGTGTGGGTTTGTCAGTGCCTGAATAATATAAAAATAACAGGATAAACACATTCTTGTAATTAATGCGTTCTACCTCATTATTTCATTTTCAGTGCTAAGAAGGCAGAGCTGACCATCTATCTACTGGAAGTCAGGTGCATGTCAGGTGTCACAGTTTGGGACACTGGCAAGTGAAGGCACACAAATTTCATTTGTCACATATGAAAATGTTACCCTAATTTTTAGGCAGAGCTCCCTCCTACCATTTCTAGATTGTGAAGAGCTTTGCAGTAGTGGGTAAGCAGCATCTTTTCAGTATGCATAAGCAGTTGCTGGTAAAAGTAAGAGGCCTAATCCAGACGGTTAAAATTTACATGGTATAGTTTCTTACATGTCAGTGTTAGTGCCTTGTTTCTAGGATTCTTTTCCCTACATTAATAATAGCACACTATGGAGCCTCTTATACCTCTTCATTGCTAAAATCCTGCCAAAGCAGGTAATTACTGAGCAATATAAGTGATGTAGACACTTCATAGTATACATGAACTTCATTTTAAAAGATGCCTAATTTGTTGTTAACAGAACTGTCTATTACACTTGATGCCTTTACTGGCCATTTCAGAAAAGAGGCCAAGATAAGGACACCTTGCATGTAAAGTAATTTTTTACAGCTGTACCAAATGGGTATACAGTGCTTCTAAACAGAACAATTGTGGTTTGTGTCTGCTTTGTACAGTTACAGATGGCTCGTGAGTTAGTTGCAAGGCAGGCCACCTATTAGGCCTGTAGAAGCAGAAGTATTTTGTCACCCTTTAAAAGAGATGAGTAAGCTGAGGTATGCTGCTATGGTCAGAAAATAAAATGTTTGCATTTCCACTGCCTTTGATTTATTTTGTCTATACTGAAAGAGAGAACTGTATTTTTTGGGGCTATCAGTCTGGGGCCTCCTGCAAACACTGAGGTCATGAAGGGGAGAGGAGAGGTTAGTAAATATTTCTGGGTTTCCATTTTTCTGTATATGATTTTAAGCAAATTAATCTCTTTGGAGAGATTTAACTACTTGGAGATATTTCTGACTTTAGTCAGTCACCGTTATCAAGAGTTATAAGGTGTTAGCAAGTGTCTGTGAGGAATTTTTCAAGGGACAGGAAGTGCTGCAATTTTAAAAATTGCTGATTCTTTGTTGTTTTAAAACTTCACACAAGTTGCACATCTAGATTTTTCTGCAAAGTCTTGTGTCATCAGATGGCACTTTTCTGTCACTCCTGTATTTTAGCTGGTATTAGTTTTTAAAAGAGATGCCCTGACCCTACCTTGTGGCATGTTCCCATGTGCTCCTCTTACAGACTCTGCTGGAGTCGATGCAGCTCAACACAGATAAAGTGATTTGCTTGGGTGCATGCACAGTGGGATTTGGGGCTTCGAAGTTGCACATCAGTGGCATTTGAGTTCATCTGGGTTTGCCTGTGTGATGCTCAACTGACAGCAGAGTGTCTCCCTCCCAACCCCATGTCCCCTCCTAATTAATCCGTGGCACAATGTGAAAGACATAAGCAGCCATGTGTCTGTCCTCTGTCAGGAGGGGAAAAAAAATACTTTGTTTCACTTTGTTTTTATGTAATAATAACAGGAAAAATAATAGCATCAATATAGATAATAATAATTGGGATTTGTTCTATTCCCTTCCTTTGGGACCTGCCATGGAGCCTGTACTGTTGGAGAGGGGGCTGAGTTTGATCCTTGATTACCATTCTTTCTACTCCTCCTGCCCAGGGTGGGAGCTACCTGCTGGCTGTGGAACCAAGTTGCCCACTGGTAGCTCTTCCGGGCTGAGGTACACGTGTGCTTCCATGGCCATTGTAAATGTATTCAGATAATAAAAGGGAAGCTTGGACTAGCCAGCTGCAGCCTGAGCCTGCAGGCCCTGGATCCCTTTGAGCTGCTACCATGGCTGACTACAAGTGACGGTTGTCATGTGAGCAGGGAAGGAAGGCCATAAGGCAACTCTGGGAGCATATGCTTTATCTGCACTAAGC